TGAGCATATATACTTAGACCACGATTCTTGAAACTCACAAGAAAAACAAGGTGTTCTAGAAAGAATAAGCAAAAGATACCTTTTCCCTGTAGAACCGGCAATCAGTTTCATTTTTACTTAAATTTGAGAATGGCTCTTACAGAACCAGAGTTTCAATCTGTTTCAACAGCGATTACCTGATAAATTAAGCACTATAATGCATAACCCGAGATTATGACAACTTTTGGTCTCCCTTAAGACCTAGGGAGAGGTCTGGTCTAATCTGGGATTCTACAATACATTCTATTACAGAAGTTGTTTTATTAGAAATCAAACTACTTTCCTTTTACAAAGGCATCCTTTTTTTTTTTTTTTAAGTTAACAGGTGTTTAGGCATTCAGAATGAATTCAGTTCTGTATGCTTTGAGCGCTAGAGACAGAAAATGGAAAAATCACGGTGTCACAATTAGTCTCCCGTCCTTTTCCCTTAATCCAGCAACACCATCCCGGTCTTGCAACGCCTTTTAAAAGCTCGCTAAACCTACCTGGCAGGAGACCTGCGTTCCTCCGCGCCGGGCTTCTCAGTAGCCTCCCGCGCGCTCACCGCCAGTCCGGGCTGCTGGCACACGGGGCAGGAGGAGCTCTTTCATTCTCTCCGCCTTTCCTCCGTGCTCTGCGGCTGACAGCTTTACACTTTGCAAGATTGCAACAGGACTCGCGCTCCCAGACCTACGGGTCGGGAGGAGGAGGAGGTCCCGACCGCCTCCTGGCCTTGACTGGCAGCTGCGATGCCCGGGGACGCTGCAGCGCGAGCGTGGGGCACAGCTCGCCAGCAGCAGCGGCGGCAGCAGCGCGTTTATTTATACAGGAAGCTCAGGCGCCGCACTTCCTACTTCCCATCTGGGTCATACTTGAGCTGCAGGTGATGGCCTCAACCCTAAACCAACCCGGGCGTGCTGCACCGACTCTGCTACTTGTCAGGATCTCTCTCTTGTTCTCCTGGGACCGCTGCCGCAGGAATCCAGAGCAGGGGGTGCAGGCAGCTGTCCCTGGCGCCCTTCTCCTGCCCAGTGACAGCTCACCTCTTGGCCTTCACCACCTGCTACCTCTCTGTCTGTACATATCCTCACAGGCCACCCTTCTTCATTTTCTCTTTCCTTCCCAGCTCTTTAAATCTCTTCTATTTCTAACAGCCCAGACCTGGCTTCCCAAGTGGCAGACAACTGTTTTAGAGAAACACTTCCCATGCACATCTCACCAAAAAAACAGCTTGTACCTAACTTGCCCTTTTGCATCTAATAATGAAATTAGAATGCAGGTAAACCCAATCAGGAAGAATCTCGTTTTACCTCATAAAATAAAGACACTTCTCGATGAAACAATGATTTCACTTGAAGTGCTTTGTAACTTAACTGGTTGTACCTTCAATTAAACAAAAAATGTAACAAAATAATCCGGAAGCTGTGAGGTGTTATGAAGTGCCTCCTTGCTCCAAAACCACAGACATTTCATTTGTGTGGCATTCATAATGAATTGCGCATACCTACTCACTCCCCACAGCCCCCATAGATCACAATCACCTAAGTCTGCTGAACATTGCAATTTAGGAATGTCGCTCTGACACAGGAATCTGTGTTCACTCTGCAACCTCTTGCTACTTCTGCAACCACTCTCAGGAATGTGCTTCCAAAAAGGAAGGGACTCCTAGGCCCTTTGTGGAAAGGATCTGTGCGTGCCAACAGGCACCGTTCCAAACAACACAAGCAATTACTGCTTCTCAGCGTTCCAAGTTGAAGAAAACCTCTAGGTCAAAGCAAACTGTGGAAGAAAACAGTGTCTCTACATGTGCCATGCTAGGGCAGGCAGGAGGACCAGCTCACTAGTGGGGGAGGAAGAGAGAAAGGACAGAGGCAGTAAGATGGTAAGAGAACCCACAGTAGAATATTTGAGCTTGAAAAATCCTCCTAGCTATTTTAGCAAATAACCTGATTCTAAAGATAAGGAAACTGGGCTGGGCACAGTGGCTCATGCCTGTAATCCCAGCACTTTGGGAATGCCGAGGTCAGCAGATAACCTGAGTTTGAGACCAGCCTGGCCAACATGTGGAACCCTGTCTCTACTAAAAATACAAAAAATTAGCCGGGCGTGGTGGCAGGCACCTATAATCCCAGCTACTTGGGAGGCTGAGGCAGGAGAATCACCTGAACCTGGGAGGTGAAGGTTCCAGTGAGCCATGATTGCACCATTGCACTCCAGGCTGGGTAAGAAGATCAAAACTCTTGTCTCAAAAAAAAAAAAAAAAAAAAAAAGATAAGGAAACTGATGTCCAGGGAGATTTAAGAGATTGGCCCAAACCACACAGGGGTTTAGCTAGAATGAGAGCTAAATCTGAGTTATATGAGGAAGGTAAATGTTAACGAAAACCATCCCAAAGGATGTCCAACCTTTAGATTTAGCAATGGCTTGGGTTCTCAGATAATCTATCGCAAGGAATTTTCTTGGTATAGCGACCATTTTTGGTGGACAGGAACTAGGAAAGATAAAGCACCCCCTAAGAGGTTAGTTTTTTCATTGGTGTTGATGCAAATCTTCTGAGCCTTAAACCTAAGTTCAATACAGAGTCTACTTTTCAAATTACCATTCATAAATTATAATTTCTTGCTAACAGGATAAGGGAAGAAGCTGCTGCCAATATGACTGAGAACGTAGGTTCAGTACTAGACGTGCTGCCTGTTATCCCAAATATTTTGCACAACTGAGTAACATCACCACTGATTATTTTCAACCATGGAACTATGCTCATTTTTTTAAATTGCAGTCAAAACTTAGTAAGACTAAATAAACATGTCAAATGCTACCATATTATGTTAACGAACTCTCTCATATCTTCCTAAGTAGTCTTCAGTGTAAATGAATATTCATTCTCTGGAGCATTTATTGATCTCCTCCCAGACAAGCTGCTAGGTGCTACTAAGATAATGGTATTAGACATGGTCTCCCTGTGCTCAAACACCTCTCAGTCCAGGGAAGGAGTCAGACAAGCAAATCAATTATCAGGGTACTGACAGTTGTACCCAATGTTTGAGTGATCATAATGTGTGATATGATAGACTTACACATGTGGTATTGGGAGCACAGAGAAGAAGAATTTAACTAAAGGAAAGGAGTTGATGAAAAGAATCAAGTCTTCTCTGAGAAGGTGATTATATTAATCTATTCTCACATTGCTATAAAGAAATAACTGAAACTAGGTAATGTATAAAGAAAAGAGGTTTGACTGGCTCATGGTTCTACAGCTGCACAGGAAGCATGGCTGGGGAGTCCTCAGGGAGACTACAATCATAGTAGAAGGCGAAGGGGAAGCAGGCACACATGTCTTACGTGGCTGGAGCAGAAGTAAGGGTGAGGGGGAAATGCCACACACCTTTAAATAATTAGGCCTCTCAAGAACTTACTGTCACAAAAAAACAGCACCAGGAGATGGTGCTAAACCATTTATGAGAACTCTGTCCCTATGGTCCAATGACCTCCCACCAGGCCCCACCTCCAACATCGGGGATCACAATTCAACATGAGATTTGGCTGGGGACACAGATCCAGACCATGTCAGTGATTTAAATCTGAGTCTTCAAGTAGCCCAATGGGGTGGCGGAGAAGGGTAATCAGGCCAAGCAAACAGCCAAAACGAAGGCTTAGACATGACACTCTAGGTGACGCTTTTCATAATTCGAACAGAGCTGACAGATCCAGAATAAACGAGTGAGGGAGGGTCTGAGCTAATGCAGTTATGTAATAGACCCGAAACAACTGCCTTGCAAAGGAAGGGAACCAATGGAGAGAGATTTCAGAAACAGAGGTGATGGAATTTGGTATCTGATCGGATATTATATTAGTCCTTTATCACAGTGTTATAAAGAAATACCTGAAACTGGGTAATTTATAAAGAAAAGAGATTTAATTGGCTCACAGTTCTGCAGGCTTTATAGGAAGCATGATGATGGCATCTGCTTGGCCTCTCGGGAGGCCTGTCACATGGCCAAAGTAGGTGCAAGAGAGTGAGTTGGGGGTGGTGCTACACACCTTTTTTTTTTTTTAAGATGAAATCTTGCTTTGTCACCCAGGCTGGAGTGCAGTGGCGCAATCTTGGCTCGCTGCCTCCCACGTTCAAGTGATTCTCCTGCCTCAGCCTCCTGAGTAGCTGGGACTACAGGTGCGTGTCTCCATTCCTGGCTATTTTTTTCTTTTTTGTATTTTTGGTAGAGATGGGGTTTCACTGTGTTAGCCAGGATGGTCTTGATCTCTTGACCTCGTGATCTGCCCGCCTCATCCTCTCAAAATGCTGAGATTACAGGCATGAGCCACCGCACCCAGCTGCTACACACCTTTAAATGACCAGATCTCAAAAGAACTCACTCACTATCCCCAGGACACTACCTAGAGGGATGGTGCTAAACCATTCACGAAAAATTTGCCCCAATGATGTGATCACTCCCTACCAAGCCCCACCTCCAACAATGAGGATTACGTTTCAATATGAGATTGGAGCGGGGGGACACACATCCAAACTCTATCAGATGTAGGGGGATAAGAGAGAAAGAATAGCCCTAACTGCTGGCACTACTAAGAGAGGGGAATAAAAGAGAAGTGGTGGTAAGGAAATCATGATAATTCAAATAAAAGCCTATAGAATCTGAGGTGCCTCTGGGGCATACTGGAAGAACTGACCAGTAGGCTATCAACAGAGAGAGATCTAGCGTGGAGAGTCATTTGGGAATTGCCATCATTTAGGCAGTGCCCATAGATGAGATTACCCAAAGCTAAGAAAACCCACATGCTATAGAGGGGAGCTGAGACTTTGGATCTAGGCAAACTCCACTACCCACTCATTATTATGTAACCTTAATGACGTTATTTAAGAGACCCGAAACTCAGTTTTCTCATCTATAAAATAGGAATGATGACATTCATCTCATAGGCTGTTGTGAGGGTAAAAGTGGTTTTTTAAGTAGCTACCATAGTACCTGATACACGGAAATGCCTGATGGGCCAGGGATGGTGGTTGGGGTGGAGGCCGTGACTGCAGCTCCCGGAACTGTGCACTGCGCAACCTGCTCAGCTGTACACCATGGCCCTGGCCTGATACACAGTAGGAACTCAGTCGGTGTTATTTACCTAAGAAAGGGAAAGGGGAAGGGAACGAAAGGGTTAAAAGAGAGAACCCAAAAGAACATCAGTATTAAAGAGTAGGTAAAAGGGGAGCCCTCAAATAAGTCTAAGAAAAAAATGCTTCTTTTATACTACAAAAATAAAGGTAGGCCAGGAGCAGTGGCTCACACCTGTAATCCTAGCACTTTTGGGAGGATCACTTGAGCCCAGGTGTTCAAGGTCAACCTGAGCACCTGTGATAGTGAGACCCTGTCTCTACAAACCATAATAAATAAATTAACCAGACATGGTGGCACATACCTGTAGTCCCAGCTACCCAGGAGGCTGAGGCAGGAGGATCACTTGAACCCAGGAGGTTGAGGCTGCTGTGAGCCATAATCATACCACTGCACTCCAGCCTAAGCAAGAGCAAGAGCCTGTCTCAAATAAATAAATAAATTAAAAAAATAAATAAATAAATGTAACATTTGATATTTTAAATTGAGATGTAAAATCCACACACTACAATCTATAAAAATATTTTTTAACTTTCTGAGCAATGACATATTACAAATTGTTCACCAGAGATTGCAATCATGTTGACCTTCATCATAACAGGGAATTATTTCCTAATCTGAATTCCAGAACTTTGTTTAAAAAAGCATACAAAGTTTTAACATTAACAGTAAGCCATCCAAATTGTATCAATTGCTGGCCAGGCAAGGTGGCTCATGCCTGTAATCCTAGCACCTTGGGAGGCCAAGGCGGGTGGATCACTTGAGGTCAGGAGTTCAAGACCAGCCTGGTCAACATGGTGAAACCCCATCTCTACTAAAAATACAAAAATTAGCCAGGCATGGTGGCATATGCCTGTAATTCCAGCTACTCAGGAGGCTGAGGCAGGAGAATTGTATGAACCCAGGAGGCGGAGGTTGCAGTGAGTCGAGATCACATACCACTGCTATCCAGCCTGGGCAACAGAGTGAGATTGTCTCAAAAAAAAAAAAATTGTATTAACTGATAATATACCTAAAGTAATATAAAGCCAATCAAAATAAATCTAAAACATACTTAAAGTTTCCCCTGCATGTGCAGCCGAAAAATAAATATAATTACTAGATTCTATATATATGTAAGATACTGAAATAATATATATCATACTGCAAAATATGTAATATATAATAGGTATATATTATAAAATGCATTACACCCCTACATAAGAACAGAATCAACAAGTAGAATTTCTTCTTTGGAAAATTATTCTCTTTAATTAATAAACAAAGGTCTGGAGTTGTTCTTCATATTATCCTTCTATTCTACCTTAGTACCTATGTAAGAAACACGTATCTTAGACTTTATATCTTCATTACATGCTGTGGTTAAAACATAATTTTTTAAAATGGTTTGTTCAGTCTTAATAACTCAGATGTCAGAATCCAAGTATTGGGAAACCAGCTTCTGCAATAGATGCAAATCTCTCTCCACAGGGACAGATATAAGGCAAAGGTCATGATGCCCTGCCACTGACAGTTTGGTCATTTCTCATTTCCAAACAGCTACAATTTCATCTGCATTTTTCTATTCTAATGGGTGGGCTTTTTTCTTTCAGCATTTGCTGAATGTTTTGCATATAGAACTAAGAGTAAGATAATACAAAATAAGGCTATTACAAAATAATATGATACGAACTATGCCAGAGATATATTCAGGGTAGCATGACAGTCAAAGAACAGAAATCAAAGTGAAACTGTGAACAGAGGACATCGTCCAGTGACATACACACATAAAGGACATACATCCAGTTGTGTAGTATTATAACATAAGTTTCACAAAATTTGAGACATGTCATCTTGGTTCTGTCATACTTAACAAGAAGCATCTCAACCCCTTACAGAGCAAGTCAAAACCAACTGGTATCCAGCAAGAAAAAACAGAATCATCTCCAACTGCCATTGCCATTATTAGACATGAGAGCCCATCATGACTCAGGATAGAGAGCTGAATGAGAGAGCAAGACCACATCTAGGACTCTCATATCCTGTATAACACCACTGGCAAGCTGGGGTTAAGGACCAATGAGAACACGGAGGTCAGCACCTCACTTTCTCCAGAAAAAAAAAAATGGCTCTGCACTAGCCCTGAATTAAAATTCTCCACTAGAGAGTCAGATGAAATTGTCTTGATAATCCTTATGTTTGTAAGTTTTATAGTAATCCTGCTATTCCTGCCACTTCCAAATTCCTGCATAAGACAATCAATTTTGGAAAAAAAAATCCCCAGTGTTCCCACAGTCATCACGAGAGCCAATGTATTAACTAGTTTACAGGAAATGAAGTACTTGGTACTGTACATCTGCATCCAACATTGATACAGAGGACTGCCCTGAATTAAGATTCAAATTATTTCTTGGCCTCACAGATGGGGAATTCAATTCTTGGAATTCAGACTCCACCCTACAGAGACCAAATTACTCACAGATAGGAATATTATAGATGTTAATCTTCCAGCAGGACTTTATTTTGAAAGCACCTTAAAAACTTGTTTTCTCTAAGACAGAAATGTCATGCCCTTCTTTTCCCCACCTTCTCCTTTCCCCCATCTCCTCCCTCTTCCTGCAAAATGGTGAATCACCAAGTCCCCCGTGAAACCAGGAACCAGACAAGAGTTAACAAACACTACCATCTGCAACAGGTCAAAGAAACAAAAGTGAAGGCATGGAAACCAGGATGGATGGAGTATGGAGAGGAGCAGAGAACCGCTGCATGGGGAAATAAATACAGGTGTATATTTTAGAAATGTCTTAAGCAGAATCACAGAAGAACAGGGGAGGGACCTTGTCCTGGATCCTTCAGGAGAAATATCCCCCATGCTGGCAAAGTCTATTTCCCTTCTACAGTTACCACTGGGCACCTGCAGTCCTCCATATCCTCTTCAGAATTTGTCTCAAGAGGGTTGGCTGTTGTTTCAATACATCTCCCTATAGCGCATGCTACGGGACAGCCCTCAAAAAACATCTCGTGCCCTCCCCATTCATGTTCTCATCCAATGAGAGGAGTGCTTTTAAAAAAAAAAAAAGAAGCATCTCCTGGTCTTAACTAGTGCAGCAACAACCACAAACTCTGGGTGCCACCACGTTTACATCTCCAACAAAATGGAACCTTGGAGAGGTCCTTCTTACACATCAGCAGTCCTAAAATAGATCCTGCTCATTCCCCTGGAGAGGAGTCACATTCAGATTAAACACATGACCATGGGTTTGAATAAGCAATTGTCACAGTCATGTGATGTGTCTTTGCAAAGAGCCTTATTCTAGGGTCAAGAAGGTAACTTTTACACACTTATGATGCCTGACCAACAAAACTATGCTAGTCTCATGAAAGTCACCATGTCCCTAGATACCAGGAATTATCTCAGAAGGCCAACAGTGAAGAAAGCACCTTCTTGCCCAGGGTCCTCTCCATGCCCTGCACAGTCTTTTGTTCCCTCCTCCGACCCAGCTTCCTGTATTCCTCTTCCGTGGCACTTACCAAGCATTCTCATTGTTCACATGCCCATCTTCTTCAGCAGTCCTGCAAAAAGAGTATCATATTTTTTTTTCACTTTCTATTCACATCAGCTCCTCACTCACCTCTGTACCTAGGGGGTCTTCTAACAGTTTGCCTTTTTCTCTGTGCTCTTTCACCAGACTATCTATGATACACACACACACACACACACACACACACACACACACAATCTTAGCTCTGTGAATCATCTGTTTATTCTGTTTGTCCATTTTGCTTTAGAATAGCTTATATTTTTTCCTGTCAACTTATAAGAGCTCTTTGTAAATTATACTTAATGCACTTTTCCTGCAGTATATTTTACAAATACTTTTTCCAGCTGATGTCTGTTGATTTAACCTTACTGCTGCCAAATAATGGGTTTTCACTGCATATATCTGATATGTACTCCTTCTAAGGTTTCCATTCTTTAAAAGGCTTCCCAAGCTTTAGCTTGTACATATGTGCTTTTCTAGATTTCCCTGTGAAAGGGTTGTTTTTAAATTTGTTTTTCATCCATCAGGGAATTAACTTTATATCATTTATGATGAGTCCTGTTGTATTTTAACAAAATAGAGAACTACCTATGCCAGAATAATTTGTTAACTCACAATTTTTCCAATGAATTGGACTACAATGTGTACCACATATTATCCGTATTCTGATTTATCTATTCCAAAGCATCTATTTTTGAATCTATTCTGTTCTAATGTTTGTGTATTGCTAGGCCAGTACTATCTTGACTATAGTAACTTTATAGTATTCATTTTTGTTGTTGTTGTTGAGACAGAGTTTTGCTCTTATTGCCCAGGCTGGAGTGCAATGGCACAATCTCGGCTCAACGCAACATCTGACTCCTCGGTTCAAGTGATTCTCCTGTCTCAGCCTCCCAAGTAGCTGGGATTACAGACATGAGCCACCATGTCCAGCTAATTTTGTATTTTTAGTAGAGACAGGGTTTCTCCATGTTGATCAGGCTGGTCTTGAACTCCCAACCTCAGATGATTTGCCAGCCTCAGCCTCCCAAAGTGCTGGGATTACAGACATGAGCTACCATGCCCAACCAACTTGACAGTAATCTTATTTTTCATACTTTTCTTGAATACAGCATTTGATAATATAAAGCTTTATAGTCATTTTATATAATTTTGAAAACTAAGTTGCTATTCTATTCTGAATTGCAAGAACTTTATATAATATGCATATTTTCAGTTTCATCATATCATTTAAGGAACACATATCCCCATTTATTAGTGTTCATTGGTAAAACAGAAGATTTCAGTTCATATATTTATCTTGCATCCAGCCATTTTCCCAAGTATTTTACTAATTCTACTAGAGTGGCTTTTGAAATTTAGTCTCACATTTGGTGATATGTGCACAATCATGTCAGTAGTAACAAAAAAAGATGTTTTTATTTTTTATTTTCCAGCAAATATATCAACAACACAACTTCCTATTTGTTGCGTTTATGAGAACACAAAAGGTAATAATAAATTAAAAAAAACTGATCACAGGCTTTACTATCTAGATTCTTATGTAATTGGTTTTAGTATTTCATCATTTATAATGAAGCATCCTAGTTTGTTCTCAGTCTTTATTACAATTAAGCAGTTTCCTTCTATTCCTCTTTAAGAGTTTTCTTAGGAATAGTTCTAACTATATCAGATGGCTTTCAGTGACCATTGATATAATCATAAGTTACTCATCTTTTATAGTTTTTATATAATAGACTAAGTGGCTGGATTTTCTGATATGAAACCACATTCATATTCCTGGAATAATACCGTCTTGATCACAGTATAATTATCCTATACTAGTATTCAAGATATGCTGGCTTCACAAAGTGAACTGGAGGAACACTATTTTTTTCTATGTTCTGGGAGAGGTTAAATAACATTGTCATTATCTCACTTTTAAAGACAGAATGACCATAAATTTCTCATTCAAACCAGGACACTGTGACAATGAAAGAAGATGCTAATAAATAATGGAAATGATAAAAAGTTTAAATATACAAAGAGATGGGGTCTCATTCTGTTGCCCAGTATGAAGTACTGTGGTATAATTATAGCTCACTGCAGCCTTGAACTCCTGGCCTTGAACAATCCTCCAGACTTGGCCTCCCAAGTAGCTAGGACTAGAGGCACATGCCACTATGCCCAGCTAATTTTTTAAATTTTTTGTAGAGATGGGGTCTCACTATATTACCCAGGCTGGTCTCAAGCAATACTCCCACCTCAACCTCCTAAAGCACTGGGATTACAGGCATGAGCCACCACACCCAATCTAAAACATTTTTATACTGATTAATGTTCATATTAAAAATATAACAAGGTGCCAGGTGTGGTGGCTCATGCCTGTAATCCCAGCACTTTGGGGGGCGAAGGTGGGCAGATCACCTGAGGTCAGGAGTTCCAATGTGGGGAAACCCCATCTCTACTAAAAATACAAAAATTATTCCAGCACAGTGGCATGCACCTGTAATCCTAGATACTTGGGAGGCTGAGGCTCATGAATCACTTGAACCCGGGAGGCAGAGGTTGCAGTGAGCCTAGATGGCGCCACTGTACTCCAGCCTGGGTGACAACACAAGACTCCTCAAAAAAAAAAAAAATATATATATATATATATACATATATTATATGTATTTTATATATTATATATTCATATATAATATTATATATAAAAATATATAATTATATATATTATATATATATAACAAGGTAAATTATTCTTGGCATTATTCAGATACTTGTATCAGTTCATCACTAATACTGACTCACTACTATTTTTATGAAGAATGTTATATTTTCAATATAATATCTTTCCTTTTTTAATTTTTATTTTTTAGAGACAGGATCCCCCTCTATTGTCCAGGCTGGAGTACAGTAACAAGATAGCTCAGTGCAGCCTCAAACTCCTGGGCTCAAGAGATCCTCCCATCTCAGCCCCCAGAGTAAATAGAAGTATGATCAAATGCCACCATGCCTAGATAATTTTTGAATCGTTTTGTTGTTGTTGTTGTCTTGTTTTTTAAGAGATGAGGTCTCACTATGTTGCCCAGGTTGGTCTTGAACTTCTGGCCTTACACAGTGGTTCTCTCACTTTGGCCTCCCAAAGTGTTGGGATTACAGGCATGAGCCACTGCACCTGGTCAATAACTTTTATTCACTAAATATTCGTGTAATCTTCTTCAAAGGTACATTTCATAAATAACAAATTTGAAATTGGTGACACCTTCAATTGACTCTTTTCTGTAAATAATAATTGTAATTGAGAACATACTCTGTCTTCAGTGCTCCAGTATCTAGCAAGCTTGGGGAAAATTATACTAAATATAATATATTCTTAATATTCCTATGTTTCAGCTGAATGCAGTGGTGCCTGCCTGTAATCCCAGCTACTCGGGAGTCTGGGGCATGAGAATTGCTTGAACCTGGGAGGCTGAGGTTGCAGTGAGCTGAGATCACTCCACTGCACTCCAGCCTAGGCAAATGCAAGACTCTGTCTCAAAAAAAAAAAAAAAAATCCTATTTTTATATTGAATTACAGTTTTTTTGACCCTGAACAACACAGGTTTGAGCTGCATGGGTCCATTAATGTGTGGATTTTCTTCCACCTCTGCCAGCCCTGAGACAGCAAGACAAATCTGTCCCTCAACATGAAGCCCACAAGAATGAAGACCTTTATAATTCACTTCCACTTACTCAAGAGTCAATATGTTTTTCTCTTCCCGTTTGAGGTTTGGAATGTAGCATCCTACAATTTCTTAATCTTTCATCACTCCAATCCCCAAATCTGGGTCATTTTATCATTCCCATTCTCTGCTCACGTTGCTGCTAGGTAAGATCATAAAACTATAATGACTAGGTCCACTGCAAATTCAAACTGTCCGACTTGATCTAAGACCTTTAAATTACTCCACAAGTGCCAAAGAGAACCAAAGAATGAGTATATGTTTTAAAGTTGCAGATTTCGATTGAAATAAGATGAAAGCTTATGACCACTTCAGCTAACCAGTGTCTGAATAATGAGCTCAGCATTACCGTTGGTATTTGAGTTTAGATCAGAGGTTCCCAAACATGACTGGTTATAAGAAACATCTGAAGAGATTTTTTTCTTTGAGACAGGGTCTCGTTCTGTCACCCAGGCTTGAATGTAGTGGCACCATCTCAGCTTACTGCAGCCTCAAATTCCCAGGCTCAAGGGCTCCTCCTGCCTCAGCCTCCCTGGTAGCTTGGGCCCCACATGCCACCATGCACCACCACCACGCCCAGCTAATTTTTCAAAAATTATTATTTGTAGAGATGGGGTCTCCCTATGTTGCCCAGGCTGGTCTCAAACTCCTGGCCTCAAGTGATCCTCCTGCCTTGGCCACTCAAAGTGCTGTGATTACAGGCAGGAGTCACCGTGCCTGGCTGAATTTTTTTTAATACAGAATCCCAGGCCCCACTTCAGACCAACCAAATTAAAATCTCTGGGAGGTACTGACATCTGAAGCTTCCTAGGAAGTTTCTGATGAAGCCAATCTATAGATTGACATTAAACTTCCATGGGGCTACCCTACCGATTGTACTTTTTTCCAGGACACAATGAAAGGGATTTCTTCACTGAGAGGAAATCTAGGTTGGACGGCCTGCCCTTACAGTGTATTCCAATTGTCCTCGATTTGAACCTGAAGCCTGCTGGTGTTGCTTATGCTCCGTTTTTCTCCCACTATGGCACTTAGGGCTCAACGATTTCATGCCTTGGGAGAGTGGTCTAGGGTTCCCACCAGACAGTCCAGAAATGACCACAACGGGCACGTGTGAATCCTGCCCATGGCACCTCCGCTGATGTGAAGTGCACACCATTTCTTAATTTCCCCACTAATATGGACGGGCTACTGCTTTTTATCCTCCACAGCTCTCCTGCTTCATTTATAATGACTTTATGTTAGCCAAAATAAATGTTTTTCTACTTCTGTTTTTACAGCAGAAGTAAAAGCCAGAACATCAAATCTTTGCTGGACTGAATATTTAAAT